GCAACCTTCATTTCCGGAATGCAATAGTCCCATTTCCATATAAGGTATGGGACTGACGAAAAGGTCTGTCACCGCCCCGTTCTGCATGCTGCAGCGAAGTGTACCTCATTGAGATGGACTTCGCTGGCAGATTTTTAGCCGGGCCAATCAGAGATGAGAACGTCAATTTTCTGCGCAGTGTCTGCTTGTAGTTTATTTTACCTGGGCTAATGGGCAAACAAACTCTGTTTGTTTGGTGGAGTTTTGAATGACGTCGATGTTCTGCGTAGTGTCTGCTAGTTATTTTAGCATACGGCAGTGGAGGAAGTGAAGGAAGCCAGTCCGTGTTGATAAGGCTTCCAAATTAAATTAAATTTGTCTGACAAAGTAGCAGCTCTCATTTACAGCCGTCTCATTTGGCTCGGTACTTTTCTCCTCTCAGTAGAGTTGTTTACAGCGCTCGTGATTTCCAGTTAGCTTCTTAGCTTAGCCTCCTTCACACCGACAACACACACATGCTTCAGCAGAGGCCACGCCTCCTGCAAGAAATCATTCTCTATGCAGCAAGTCCAGACCGTTGTACAAAGCAAAGTGAAGGACAGGGTTTGGTTTAATCCAGGCTAGCTAGAACCTAAAGAGAAAAAAAAAACACAGGCATATAGATATGTAGCAATAAACGAGCTATAGCTAATAAAATGCTAGCTAAAAAATAGACAAAAGGGGTAACTAAATGTAGCAAATGATGCTAGCTACAAGTAGCTAAACAATGGTTAAAAGCTTTCCCATAAAAAGCATAATTTTTTTAAACCTGTATGTCTATGTTTAGTGTTTTCCTTCATGACGTCACTCTTAGTAGAAACGTTATCTCTGAACCCCTCCCTCTGCTCCACGCCCTGTTCAGCTGCCAACCTTGAGTTCTAGTCAAAATAAAAACACTCAAAACATAGATTGATTTTTTTTTGAATGAGACAAAAAAAAGTGTCACCATTAGATTCACTAAAAAAAGAGAGTTTTCAGGCAGGAACCCCCCCCCCACCCACCAAGCAGGGCACGCTGGGTGGAACTCGACCCTCCTTCAACACCACCTCCACCAGCAGCAGCAGCACCACCAGCAGCACATGGTTAATGGAAATTTCCACTCCTGTTAAATGCAAGAAAGCTGCTGCTTATGTTAGTCCGCTTCCTCCAGCTCTCCAGCACACGGTCAGAGAAGGTAAGAGTCTACAGTCTGCTTTTAGTTTACTCATGCTTTTGTTTATTAGTTTGTTTGTTTATCTGTTTGCTTGTTTATCTATTTATCTGATGATCAGTCTATCCACCATGATGTGCAGAAGTGGGACTGTTTAACTTTGGATCGGTTAAACTGATGGTCTTAATCTGAAACTTGAACCTGTTCGTTTAATCATCTTTAATAACCCTCTTCCTTATGTTTTGTAAAAACGAGCTTGTCTTCCTGATTGGTTCATGTCTGAGTGCTTCTTGTTGTGGGTGTAGCTGCCAACAAGCTGTCTTTATTTATGTGGGGCGAGAGTTGTGTGCGAAAACCTCACTTTTTTTTCAAACCCACCAGTTGGTTTTGTGGATAGAAAGTCAAAAATTTGGACCGTTTTTTTTAATCCAATTGTTTTTTCACTGAAAAGAAGCAGAAGCAGCACTAAGAGAGCTCTTAGCTTGCATCGTGTCTGTTTAATGTAGACATGTCAAATTAAAAGTAAATGTCATGTATTTTGGTTTATGCAACTTATTTTCTGATTGCAATGTTCTCGTGAAAAATCTCACTTTTAATTTGATTTGAAGAGTTTGTGACCTGAGCTGACTTTCTTCTCTAAAACCCTCACAGTAAAGGTTTTGTTCTTCTTCCTCATGTCAAATGTGCTCTTCTTTTGTTCCTCCAGCACAAGGATTTGTTCGGCTGCTTTTCTCACTTTGCCCTCAGATGTTCTCACTTTCAACTCTTGAGTTTGATAAATAAGAGAACAAATCACCAGGAGCGTCTGGATTATTTGACGCAGCACATCCTGTCCTCGTTTTCTCAGGAGTGGAAACAAAAGGCTCTACATTTCTGTCATGGCTTCAGGACCTGTCAGTGTCATTCTGCAAACTAAATATACCGCAGTCACAGCTGCTGCGTGGTGACTTCATGCTTTTTACAAACTGGAAGTATGCTTTCAAAACCTCCATAATGTTGGTTCTGTGGCTGATGAAGCTCCACCTTCCTTGTTCTGGCAGCTGTAAAAAAAACAAAAACAAAAAAAACCCACCCACTTGGCTGAGTTTGGTGGTGAAGATGAGGCTTTTCAGGCCTTCACTGTGGTACAAACCGAACGAAAGAGTTCACCGTCCAAAAGCAAAATCTTAGCCCAGTGAATTTTAAATATCAAGACCTTTTAGTTTAATTGGTTGTTTCAGCTTCATAAAACATGCGCAATTTAGGTAAATGCATGAGATTAATCAACTTTTTGTGCCATACAAGAACTAGCAGAGGGCCTAAGTATGTCCACTCAAGTGTTTTCAAAAAGCGGTGGTCAATGCTCCGCTTCATACGCCGTCACAGTTTGTTAAAACGGAGCGAAGCAGCTTTCAGAACATTAAGTTCCAGCAGCTTGATGGGGAAAAGGGGAACTGAGGAGGCTCACTGGAGGACTACATACCTACAGGGGTATAGAGAGTAAACATTCGACATCAGCAACCCCTTTTACATTGGTTATGTTAACGCCACAAATAGGTACGCTAAGGAGACGTGATAACCTGCTCGTAGACAGTAGAAAAGTCAGAATCTAACCATTTTAGTGTCAAGTTTGAGCTACATTACTTATTGGTTTTTGTTAAAACTGCAGCTATGGTTGAGCAATATAGGCAAAAAAAATAATTGCGATTAATTGTGGCATTTAGCTGATAAGATAATTATTCAAATCATCAAACTAACCTCTTCATTTTAACCGCCACAGTCGCATTAAAGCTTCCCATCTTTTATTTTGTAAGGGTTAGATTGATTAAGAGCATCTTGGATTCTTCGCTGAGAAAATTTGTTTTTCACGATTTGCTGGTGACGAGTTTGTTGCGTCCTCATATTTCAGTGTATGGCAGTGTTTTAGGTGATTAAACAAGATTGTAGTTTTAGTGTTCGCTCCTTGTTGGCGTTAGCAGTAGTTCCGCACTGCCGGCTTTCCATCTCACAAAAGAGTATCGTAACACAGTAGGATGTTCCTACAACAGTGGATGCTTCTATCACTCACACCACTAAAATGCTTAAAGCATTATGACAAGTTAGTTGTTTTTTTTTACGTGTGCAGCTCAGAGACTGATCTAACATTTTGCTTCTTTAACCAAATCAAAGACCAACAACAACTTTAACTTAGAAGTTCTCAATTATTATTGTTGTTGGTTGAGATCATGCACATAATGAGCATTCAGTTTTCCTCTGGTTGTGTGAAAGTCCTTATACTTGTTCCATCATGGAAAAAAGTCTTTTTATTTTCTTTAGAAATGTTTTGTTGAAAACACTTTTGGGGAAGTTGAGCTAAAGGCTAGTCAGACTCTGGCTTATTCCTGAGCAGCAATTCAAAATGTCATCACAATTGAACAAATACTATTAAAATACATATGACTTATTTGAGTTTAATCTACAATTTTGTACACATTGACTCTATCCATCCATCCATTTATATATATA